GTCAACAGAAAAGATGAATGTGTTAACATATCTTTTACTTGTCGTGCTAATTGTGCTTTTCGCTAGCGAAGGGAACGCACAACCAGCGCTAACCAATTCACTAATGTCGAGATGTGCAAGTGCTGATTGCTCAAGACTCCACGGTTTGAATATTTTTAGAAAGAAGCGACAGGACGAGCAGCCAAGAAGACAGGATCCAGATGGTACCATTTACGTAGGCGAAGAGAAGACGACATAGGCCAATACCGATCGGACAAGAGCTTTAGACATCGTCTTAAGCTGAATAATATTTCAAGGAGCCAATTTATTATCAAATAAAGTATAAAAATGTAATTTGCGGATTATTTTATCATTCCATAAACTACAATATACAAAAAGGTAGCCCTAAATTTCAGCAAGGAAAGCAGGTGTAAGAATTAAAGGGTCGAACTACCCTAGCAAAGCTCCTTGGACTAATCAGAACAATTTTCCAAGCTGATGTCCATGAAATACACCTCTGTTCACAGGAGTTAATAAAGAAATATATTTAGATGTACATACTATCAGACAGCTATAAAGGTATTAAATGCATATGCTTTCAACCCGAAACTTTTATTGAGCCTAATTGCCTAATGGATAACAAGAATACCTGAAAGTAGGTTATGAGACATGAAGATGTAGAAGGAAATGAACAAGCTGACTAACTAACAAAAAAAGGGGCACCCCATGGGGCATGGGTTATATTTTGAACTGGAAAAAGGGTTTGAGAAAGAAAAGCTCAAGCATTGGACAAAAGCAACAGTTATGAGGAAAGGTAAGATAAATATAGAATCAACAATTTAGACCTAAAATTGTCCATATTAAAAAACCTAATTGAAATAGACGTATATTGAAAATCCACAACTACAGACACTATGATACCAGCGGATTCTTCTCACCCATGGACACAAAAAGCTGCTGGTTTCATTTGGCTTACAGACCGTATGTTAAAACGCCCATTAACACCCTCTAACTATAAAAAAGAATTAGAAACTATTGAAACCTTAGCAAAACACAATGGATATCAAGAAATATCTATTGATAGGTTGCTAATTAAAAGAATGATAATAATAAAAAAAAATAGCTTCAAAAGAAGCAACAATAGGACTCGACACCCCACCATTAATGAATCATTAGGTTTCCGTTGTACATTGGTGAACTATCAGAAAAAGTAGAGTAGTTAAACAAGAAGGTTTTAGAACAGCTTTTAGAACTACGTGTTCTCTTTGAAACAGAAAACCTAAAGATAAGGTAGACAACGTGGCAAAAAGCGGGTTTACCAACTTAATTGTAATGATTGCGACATTAAATATATATTTGCTGAAATGCAGACAACACAAGGTCCTGAAGATGATCTCAATAAAGATCGAAACGTTGGCACGATAAAGAAAATGTTTTTCTGAAACCTACATCACNAGTAAATTTAAAAAATAAAGAATTAAGAATAAATATATAAAAAATTAATCACTAGTTTATAATTAATTTCTTACAGTATTTATTAATATAATATTTAATTGTGTTATCATTTCCGCATTTTGCACGTGATGAGCGGCATTAAAAAACCAGCTTCTCATTGGAACGTCGCGATGGCCGGCGGATCATTAGGTTCAGCCTTGCAGTTCATGTCGAGAGACGTAGTTGTAGAACTCCTTCAACCTGATGATGAGCCGTAGGCTTGAAATGCGGATCGTTCAAAACAACTTACTCCGAGTAGGAACAATTTTTTTAAAAAGATTAAAAAAGAATATACAATCTGTTCAGAAATCTCTCAAAAGGGAAGGCAATGGAATTTCTCTCTCTCCCTCAGCAGGCAGGATTTGGGAAAAGCTGTAGGCTTTATACCGGCCACTGCCTTCATAACTACCAACTAAAGAAGATGGGCAAAGCAGAGAGAGAAACATGCCGACTCGGTCCGGAGGAACTAGAGAGTATCAGCCCGCATCCTTTGTGAACTGGAAGCTTACGTTACAGCCACTTCGGTAAGGCAATTCTCACATTAAAGAGGTGCGCAAAGAGGCACCGAGGAAAGTACTTAAATCTTACAGGTAAAGTGCACTTTCCAAGGTGTGGCTATAATTTATGGGGTTCAGCAATAGATCTATAGAGGTTGCAGTGGAAGAAAGACTTTTTAGGATCTTTGTTCAACCCCCCAACCTTAAAAACGCAAAACGACGTAATTATTATTGTTCGGCATTAGCATCAGAATAATAATGATCAGCAAAATCTTTTCAAAACTTTTTTTTACTCAATCAGATGAGATTATTAAAAACCAATAGTTTATCATTTTACAAAACAAAATTTTCAATAATTGTAAATTATTTGTACTGTTATAAAAATTTTTAGCCTTGTGAAAAAACGAAAATTGATGACAAATTGGACTAATTTATATGTGGATAATAAATTATCTTGCTTTTTATTATCATTAAATTCAGTGTTAATCCATTCTGTTGATTAGTTTTAATGAAATGAGAGATTAAGGTGGTACAGTTGACTATGTCCATGTTTTTGTAAGTAACGTTTTTAGTAATCACAAACTTATACGCTCAACCTATGCAGGGCAATTCTAAATTTGGCCAAGTTTTCAAAGATGGAACTGGAAAATCTCTTCTAGAAAATGGAGGAATGGAAATAAGGTAAGTAAATCATCCAGAGCTAAACGTTCCTGATTTTTTTTAATGTACACCATTTTTATATATACCAGGGCAAGAAGGAACGTCATTGACGATGGAAATCTTACGAGCATTTCTTTTTCAATTTACCATTTAGAAAATGAAGAAAACCGGGCTACCAGAGGGATTGCAATGGCATTTGTAGATATATTTTCTAAGGAAAGAAACTAAGGTTTTATAATAGCAGTGATTATAGAATGCGTTAATTTGAACTCCATCGTCTTTTTCAAATTTTCTGCCGTTAGACTCGTCATCCCATATCTCTGCCTACTCAACAATCCTCGGCGCATCTGCCTCCGGTTCATCAAATTATTTGAATCTCAAATATGCTAGATCACCGGTCGGCCGACTGTTTAAAACAGTGCCAAACCTTAAACCAAATTGGGTTCAGTGAGCCAGGTTGAAAGTTGAATGGGTACAGTTTATTAATAGGTACTTTTCTTCATGAGGAAAAAGAGCCAAATTTTTATTGAAGTGATAATTTAACATGAAATCATTTTTTTATATATCTGTTCAAAATGCAGTATATATCGATAACACAAACAATGTCATAAATAATCAAAATTTCAATGGTAACAGCACAATTGCAGAGATAATCATTAATATGACTGTGTGGTGTTTAGTGACCGTTAGTCAATGATTGTTCGGAGATTGTGAGATGCGGCCTGGTAGGACGTAGGCTTTAGAAAAACATTTTCTTTATCGTGCCAATGTTTCGATCTTTATTGAGATCATCTTCAGGGCTCAAAGTGTTTGTTTTCTGTGTAGACGTGTCATTCGTGTCACTCTCACACGGAAAACAAACACTTTCAGCCCTGAAGGTGATCTCAATAAAGATCGAAACGTTAGCACGATAAAGAAAATGTTTTTCTAAAACCTATGTCACACCAAACCGCATCTCACGATCTCCGAATAATCATTAATGTGACTATTTTTTAACATTTTGTTTAACACTACTGTCGTTGGGATAACATAATATTTTGAGTATCGCATGAACTGATTTTGTCCCTAGTTATCCAATGTGAACCAAAAATATTAAATTTACTCTCATGCGTAAATAGGACTTTGCTCCCTAAGCAATTGCCGTTATATGTTATGAGCTTTTGAAAAAGTTTAGATGTTTAATTTTTTGAATGTTATTCTTGCTATCTTTTCGTGATAATCATTGTCTCTCAACGTTATCTTAACAGTTTCAGCACTGACAATTATTTGATTTTATCTTTTAAATTATCAGGCAATTGTGGGAGGAGCGGTTAATTTGGTGATTTGATTTTTTGTATCGAAGGCTTCCCAGATTTTTGCCCGTCATACAATCTGTCTTCATTTTATGTAATATAATATACGTAATATAAATACATAACATGTGTACAAATAAATAAATAATATACTGTGGGCGCAGCTGTTAAGGCATTGACACGGCGCTTATCGCTGTAAGGTAAATGTTCTCGGGTTCGAATCCAGGGCCATGCATCCCCACTCAATGTAGACAAATGGGATTTTTTTTCTCAAAAATCCCGGGGAGCTCTGCTGTTGGAAACCCACTTACAAGGAAAACGTTTTATAATCTTCAGGACTGTTTATCTGTAAAACTACTTGTTAAATGATAATTTTTAGGTAAAGCAGGTTTCCTTTAGAAAAACTAATTTTAAATGAGTTTATATAGTAAATGTGTTACGCCTGCGAACAATTCGGATTCCAATATCCTCCGCCTGCAAAATCTCTAGGAAATGATGTTTATGTCGGTATATGATATTTATGTGATGGGATATAAAAATAAACTACGTGGGGTGATACAAACAGTGGGTTTACCAAATAAATCGTGTCAACAATTTTTGGAAAAATTACATAAAATATACTGTTTTAATGGTTTTTAACATTTTTTCTTAACGTAAGAAAAAACACGAGGAAACTGAAAAACAACTCCGAATTGATTGAACGTCATGTCTTGTATATTTTGCAAAAATGTGAAATATTTGGTACCATTGCTTTGGTGGATGTAGACAGTCACACTGGACTCACACAATCTGAACAATTCTTTTAACACAGATCAGTGAAAAATCCAGAATAGATGATCAATAGCTATTGCTATCTACTTTCTTCTAATCGGTGGATTTCTTGGCTTTCGGTTGGTCGTCTAGTTTTTAATGTATATTTTCCACAAAAAAAGAAAGGAAAAATGTTTTCATCATAAAATAAATTATATTGGTAGGTAATTTTTTATTTCAATACTAATAAATAATTATAATAAAAATAATGGATTATTTGTAAATTATATTAAGTAATGCTTATTTGTTATTTATGTATTTACAATTTTAATGTATAAATCTTAAAAATAATTGTTTCTAAATTAATCTTAAATTCGATGATTTTAACTTATTCAATAATATAATCAATAGTTATTAATTCAATAGCATGATTGAAGTTGATCAATTAAATAAACATTTGATACAATTAAGAATTAAAATTATGGCATATTGGTGTCGTACATCCGTGTATATTGATGAGGTACAACGGATCACTTGATAAGAAAATAGGTGAGGAGTTTGCCCCAAAATAAGCTCATCTAATGACGCTTTTAATTCTTAGGTAATTTTCTTGTATTTTGTTTTAAAGTATGCCCACGGTTGACAATAGAACCAACTTGATTGTCAAATCCATGGAACTTTAAGAGAATTACCTCCCATCCGAAAGGCGGCTGGGTGATTTTAATTTCATACATTTAAAACCCGATGTTTTGCCTCATTTGTTCAATTTGAGTTTTTCAAATTTAATCCATAGACCGTCTTTTGACGTGCTCAGAAACATGCACATCGGATCCAATCTCAAAGGCCCTTTGAGCTTGTCCCGGAGCATTATCCTGTAGTTGAGCAGAATGGAAATAATAGCGAGTTTGACCTGGATCAGCGCGAACCTTATGCCGATGCAAATCCTGGGCCCCTCGCCGTACGGTACATATGTAAACTTTCGTATTAGGTCACGGTTATCATTGCTGAACCTTTCCGGCCGGTATTCCTCCGGATCCTCAAAGTATTCTGGGTCTGTATGTAGGGCGTAAATTGGAATCACGACGGACATTCCTTTTCTGATCTTGTATTCTTTCCCATCCGAAGCGAAGAGAGAAGTGCTCTGCGTGCACACTCTTGTAATAGACTGGAGCGGAGGGTGTAGTCTTAAGCTCTCTGCAATGTAAATATGTTTTCATTATCAGTATAAAAGCAATATTTAAATAAAAGCTTTAAAAAATAACGCACAAAGTAAAAACAATCCAATTTTTGAAGTTAGAAATTTTAAATTAATAAGTAGTTTGGTCGTTTTCGATCATTTTGGTCATTTATCTTGCCTGTTTTAACCTTACAGATGCAGATCCCGTCAATGGAGATGTCGAGAAAAAATGTGGTTTGACAGACCAAAACAGCGAGGATAGGCCAAAACAATCTTCCTTCAGTTTCAATTTACTTTTTTTTTCTCGATAAGGACCAATATGCTAGTTCTTTGTGATTACTCGTGAGGTGTTCTGAGCAGTATTTTTAATTTGTACATCTCTTCTGGCATTTTTACAAGGTATGCTAAGCAAGCATAGCCGCAGTGTCGTGTAGGTTTAGCATGTCGGCTAAAGTAAATAATTGCGTTTGCGTTTATTTACCTGATATAACGTTATCAAGGTAAGACATTCTGTTTATTTTCGTCGTGTCGAACTCGTTGATATCCGCTGACACGGCGAAAATCTCCTCCCTTAGCGTTTCTTGTATCTCCGGATGGGCGGCGAGCTCGTAGAGCGTGAAGCTCAGGAGGATCGAGGTCGTCTCATAGCCATCCATGTAGAAAGTCATGCAGTGGCCGGCCATTTCGACATCGTCGTAAACTACAAACAAAAAATCGAATAAATACATTATATATATCAATTTTATATATATATTATATAAATATATATATTTTTGCGTGTATTAAACTAGTTTTTAAAAAGAATACTATTTATTACACAGCAAGCAAATACAAAACTCGAATAACCACTTCCAATTAGGGAATCTTCCGTCTATACTCGATGAAAGCCCGAGACGGATCTAGTTAAAAATATTAATATTAGCAAAGGCTTGGGGATGTAATGAAGGAGGGGTTTCTTGGAAGTGAACACGTTTAGTTGTGATAAGGGAGGAATGCGAAGGGTTGCAACAGATAAGGGTCTAGCGAGTACGTAACATATATATGTTATATATAATAAGATTGTGGAAATAGTTACCTGGTTTTCCGTTAACGGATTTGGTGTTAGTGTCGATCAACTGCTGGAGAAAATCGTTTCTTTTGACACCGTTTTTGATCCTGTATTCTGAAGCGGCGGCAATGACTTTCACAAAATAGTCTTCCACTTCTTTGTGTATCACTCTGGATTAAAAAACAATGGAGAAAACGTTTAATTTACTCATTTAATAAGGAAAAAAGGAAATTAGTTAAATGTAAAATTCTTCTCACCTCAGTTTCAAAAGTTTTCCCAAGGTCGGTGCGACCATGGCGCAGAGGATTGAAAAATTTGCTAAGTAATTTGCGCCGAAGACTTCACCGCTTGTCACAGCACCGAAAGCCTCTTCGCGTTTTGAAAAAGCGTCCGATTTAAGTCCGAAAGCGCATGCTGCAACGGTATCCCCTGTGTAACAACTCGAAATGTCTTTAGCCTGCAAAAAATGCAAAACTTTTAATTAACGTTAACTTAAAGATAAAATCGAATATTAGTATACAATAAATAAAATATAGTTTCTTATAAAACTGTCACCCAGCTAAATGGATATATCGACGCAATCATTTTAAATGCAATAATTGATTTTGTTCAAACATGTAAATTACAAGACAAAGGTTGAATTAACTTTTGGAACCATAAATATTATAAGATAGACACACGAAAACGAGGTCGCTCCCCAGGAGAGAGAGAAAGAGGGAGAGAGAGAGAGAGAGAGAGAGAGAGAGAGAGAGAGAGAGATTTTCTTCGTCTTATCAAAAAATATGAGGACCATCCCCAGTCTGGATGTCCTTGGCTTGTCACCTTTTTTCATATTTGTCCCTAAAGGGCCATAAACTAGTTATGAAAATTAGACTTTTATTTTAGCTATTGGCTAAAAAAAATCTTTTGCTGCTATAAAAACTTTAAAATAAATGTCCATGGGGTTTTGTTGTTATTATTATTGTAACGAATTGTACTATTATATAAGCTCAAATCCCCACATGTGTATACTTGTATACACAATTGTACATGATTGGGATAACAATTCTCTCCACCGGCAATTCCAGCTTTTGGTATTTACAATAAATTGCCAGCAGGCCTCGAGAATCAACGACCCAGTTTAACAGTCTCGAAGGCAGACCTCGGTCTTATCGTCGTCCAGCCAACGGGGTTAGGTTCAGGATGCTGTCATCAGCTAGTGAGAAGTCAGCACTCAACGCATGCAGTTCCAACTCCATTCACACTCACATTCATTCTTAAATTCATACTCTCCTATTTGCATACCAATTAATCGATTTTGGTAGTAGATCAATATTCCTCCATCACCCTCTTAACATTTTATACCACTAACCTAATTGAGTATCTCCCTCTCTGTATACATTCACGCTAATAAATAAATTCACTCTCAACACATGCTAGAGGCACAAAACTATATACATTAAAATAACACTGTTGTGTTGGGGACCGAATTACTCGCTGCCGTATTCAACCACAATTCTCATATTAAGATGTATACCTACACGCTCTCTGTATATAGCCAATTGCTCCCTGTGGGACATGTCGATCAAACTAGCATCTATACTGAATATCTATACATGGAGGACACATAACCGGGCTTTGCCCCAAAAGTAAGTGTCCGTGCGTTAACCTCACATGGCCTATTCTTAATCGGGTGAGTATGACCCTTGCTCTACGAGTCAGATCCTCCGAGGGCATCAACATTGCTCTTGATACGTGAGAGCTTCTCGGCCAACCCTGCCAATTGACGCTGATTTTTTAAGCATCAGAGGGCCGGATTGCGGGGTTTAAGTCCAGAGGTTAGGACTTATTATTAGGATATTTAAAGTAGAAACATGCAATTATGAGTTTTTTTCATAGGGACCACGCAGACCCCCAATTTTTCCAATGAAATCGGAGGCATTTAGAAAGAAAACCGTCTGAGAAAAATAATTATTTTTGATATATTCAGCGGTTTTTTGGAGGTGGAAAAAACGAATAACAACTTTGTTTCTTGCTAAAAAAAGGGAAAGAAACTTCTTTGCAAAGACATGAAAAGAATCATTTATAGCAAACAAATTTGTAGGTATTGACATATAACAAATACCTAATTATTTTGTGACTGAGCGACATAGCAAAGTTGGTTACAATTTTTTCTAACAAGAAACAAATTTGATATTCGGTTTTCTTTCTCGAAAAAAAAACTCAATACAATTTTTTGAGCAAAGTATAAAAATAAATTCTAAATTTTTCGCCTTCACTGCTTTGATTCTTTTACGATTACAAAAATAATGATAATTTTAAAACAACTCTATTGATCTGCATGAATCATTACAGGGATTCAGAATCCTATAAACTCTAATGGCATACATTTTTTTCTCACTAAATAAAATAAATTAAAGATGAACAAAATAAAACGTTTGAAGTGTTTTTGCTGATGTTTTCCTTATTTTTCTTACTTAGAATGACATAAAAATGTAAGCTTGTTTGTATAATTTTAAAGTAAAGCAATGCAGCTTTCTAACTAAGTTATAATACCACGGACAATGGATACCATCTAAAGGAGTAATAAATTTTTAAGTGAAACACAGCACTTGTAGGAAAAAAATTGTCCCCATTTCTATTTTTTGCTATGAAAATTCGTGTTGAAGGACTTCAATAGAGCTTTAAATCATTCTGAATGTTTTATTGTCCTATTTAATTTAAAGCGTCTTGACGTTTTTGTACCTGTTTATATGAGACGATGAGTTTCTAAATCTGCTCAATCTATCCTTTTAGTTTTCGCAAGTTCTCAAGGCATTACAACTAGCAAATGTTTTGACCAGAAGCACCGCAATCCAGTATAAAAGTGCGTCCAAACTAATGGGTTAAATAAATACCGTCTCAATAGAATGTTCACCGTCTAGGCAGTTTTTTGTTCAATATAAATTCTATTTCCACTTTACTTTTTCTCCTACTTAAGAGATCAAAATATTGTTTCAATTTAATTGAAACCAGGTTTAGGAAAATGGATGGGACTTGACCAATACATTGAGAGTAATAGCAACTTATTCCACCAAAATGATTGGTTAGCTATACATATTGATTCAAAACCTGCTCAATCCAAAATTTAAATTTTTGGAAACTTGAAAATAATACAATATTGAAAACTAAGCCTTCTTTCTTCTAAATGAAAATTAATTTAAAAAATTGTTCTTTTTTTACATCTTCTGTAAATATTTTGAAAATTTATTGAGGCAGTTTTGAAATCAATCGCTAATATATCTGATATCATATAATACAATCCTGCATGTTTTTATCCAAGGTAAAACAACAAAACAACTGATATTACTGTAATAACCATGAAATTCACGCACGAGGTAAAAAAATATGGTAACAAAATTATGCAAATAATTTTTTAAATTAATCCTCGGCTCCCTGGCAACGTTCAGACCTTACTTTTCGAATATAACCAAAAAAAGATTTCATTAAAATCGGCGATCGTATGTCCTTAGCCTTCATTCATTAATTAACATAAACAAACCACTTTAAAGCCTTGTGATTTTATAAAATCCAGACATTTTCAAAACTTCATTTCAATGGTTTCAAAATAAAAAATGTATTATTTGGAAACATATTTTTTAGTTTTCTACCGTAGAATGTTTTTTTTGCCAAATTCATGTTTCAACAGCCAAAAGATGGCCTATTTTTTGTTCTAAATTTTATTTATTTTCAAGTAGGGAAAAAATCAATGTAAAAGTCATTTACGTGCTATAAAAACCCCTCCAAGGTAAATTTGAAGGCTGCTTGTTAATAAGTAGGTTTTGCTGAAAAATAGCAGACAAGATGCCATTAACGCCTGTGCAGTCGCCTTTGTTTGCACGACTCACAACATTTTACATTACATTTCGCTCTTGTCCTTGTTTAAATTTGAAATAATCCTTTGTCGAGAGTCTAGAACAAGAAGATAAACAACAATGAGAAAATTTCTCATATTTGCTTTGTTTCGCGCTTGAACTGTCGCCAAAAAGGCTCCGCCAAAAGCTAAATTAAACATTTCGCAAATTCACCTTGTTCATTATAAAAATTTCAGTTTTTCTCTTAAAATTTGAAATAAAAAAAATCTATCTATTCCTCGATTTCTTTAAATAATTCTAACAGTGTGACCACGGTTGTATCTGAATTACACATTAGACGCTTGTTAAAAAACAAAAAAAAAACTTCTTTTTGCCAATATTTCACTTATTCCATCCGTTTCATCTGACGATTGTCATTAAAACCAAATTTATGCACATACAACAAAATTCTGAAAAATGGTTAAATAAGAAACGACTATTGATGTTCATTTATAAGAGATAACATTTTAATTATTTACCGATTAATTGCGCAATAATTTCAAATGATGTGTTTACTGTTTGTAATTTATAGCTTTGTGATTTTATTAAATCCAGACATTTTCAAAACTTCATTTCATTTATATAATATAACGTTTTAAATATTTACCGATTAATTGTGCAATAATTTCCAATTATTTGTTTACTGTATGTAGGTATTCATTTAATTGATATAACATTTTAAATATTTACTGATTAATTTTGCTACAATTTTCAATGATTTGTTTACTTCTACTGATATTCATTTAGATGATATAATGGGCTCAAAATTTACCGATTAATTGTGCAATAATTTCCAATTATTTGTTTACTTCTGTTGATAATCATTTAGATGATATAACGTTTTAAATATTTACCTATTAATTGTGCAATAATTTTCAATGATTTGTTTATAAAATTTCCCTAGGGTGGGACCAAATTGTAGGCCATTGACCTTAATTAGAGGGACCGCGGAAGAAAAATTAATAATTATAAAAATAAACTAAATTTCTTTTTATTTCTATTTATTCACTCTACGTGTATGTTTCATCTAAGATAAATAGATAAGACAAGTGAGACAGCGGGACTAGACTTGTCGGTCGATCGGCTTCCTAGGAATAATTTCATTGTTAATACCGAGGTTTTTCAGGTCTTTCGGCACCTGGAACTGCTGCTTCTGGACACCCTGGATTTTTCCAATGTTGTTCATAAAAAGCCTTTGATTCTCGAAAATGTGATTCACGTTTAAACTCCTCTTGCGAGTACACTACCTATTTTTTCCGTTCTCATTGGTGAGTTATTTATTCCAATATGGATCGTGGTTGAAGTTGGAATCTCTGAGGAAGCATGCAGCTTCTCCATCACCTACATAGCCAGGAAAGCACCGAATTGGAATTGATGAGGCGGACGAACAACTTTTCAATGAGAACGTTACTGACAACCAGCCAAATGAATAACAGCCTAGAGATGAAGCACCTAAGAAGTCTTCAGCATGCTCAAATTCTACAAGCCTACGAGTAGGTGCTGGTCAAACAGCCAATGGAAGTGGAATATCTAAAAAGTGTAAAGACCACGACACCTACTTAGAGTTGGGATTTATAGAGAATGACTAGGGTAAAGCTCAGTGTGTAATGTGTGCGAAAGTTCTTCCAAATATTTCAGTGGTTTTAGATAAATTTCGTCGTCATTTTAAGGGCACACCCCGAATTCCAGGATAAACAAACTGAACTTTTAATGAAAACTCTCTGAAAGAGTCTTACTGAATAAATTATCAAATTATCGAGTGGTACAGGCCGGTAAAGCTCATACCACCGCTGAAACCTTCATAAACCCGTGTGGTAACGATATTGTATTTTGCATGCATGACGAAAAAGCAGTAAAATTTATATGTTCGGTGCCATTATCAAACAATACTGGCAAAAGTCGATGATTTATCAAATGAAGTGAAAGAATCCCTGGTTTCTTTCTTCCAACACAATTCATTTTCTGTTCAAATCGACGAATCAACTGACGTGGCTGTTTTATTGCCTTTTGTAACTTAAGAATACTCGAGATGTTTCGAAGAGTTTCTTCTCTTGAACAAAGCACATCCTGTCAATGCAACAGGTGCCGAAATATTCCGGTTGTTGGACTATTTTTTTACAACTAACTTCTATGATCTGATTTCATTGGTGTGTGTGCACAGTCGGTGCAAAAGCAAAGACTGGCCGAACGATTGGAGTGATTACTAAAATAAAAGATAAATCGAAGTATTGCAGCAACAATCATTGGGTTCTCCACATGCATGCTTTAGCTATGAAATAAATGCCAGTCTATTTTAAGAAAGTTTTGGATGAGTGTTTAAATGATTAACTATAACAAGCAGCGGCCATTCAAGTGAAGACTTTTCACAATACTATGTGATGGTATGGAAAGCCTTCATCATTGCCTGCTTGTGGGAAAGCAGGAATTACGTTCTGAAGTTATCTCTGTTGATGGACCCCAATGTTAAATCGGCTGACGTTTTTTCCCCTGCATCAACTAATTTGCATGGACTGACTAATTTATAAAACATTAATTTACTACACACTGTAAGTAACTAATTTTAATATTTGAATGAGAGTCCTGGGTTTTGTTCTGGGAAGGGGTCCGCTGGCTAAAAAATTGGTAAGCCGTGCCCTAGGGAATAGTCGAGTGATGCGAATTTCTCAGCCAGCAAACACCGCGGTCGTGGGTTCGATTCCCACTATCGCACCTTTAATTTCTACGCTCTTACCTTCTCCCAAGAAACAAATAATATACTATAAGTTTACTTTGCTCTGAATAATATGACCATCATAATGCCATTAAAAATATTAAACAAAAAATTAAAATAAAACAAAAAAGTTGCCCTCCATATTGCTAAGTCATCTCCCCCCTCCCATTGCACTAAAACCGAACTTTAATACTCTCACACATTAATCTTATGATGTGAAAGTAATAAACAACGGTTTATTTAAAAAAATCAAAAAAGTAAATCAAGTAAACATTGTAGCGGAAAGGCACTCTCAACACGACACACAAGAATGACACAAGTACGCAGAAAACAAACACTTTGAGATCTGAAGATGATCTCAATAAAGATCGAAACGTTGGCACTATAAAGAAAATGTTTTTCTTATACCTACTTCACACCAGACTGCATCTCACGATCTCCGAATATCATTTGTAGCGGATATTTATAATGGACCTTTTTTTTTTAATGCCATGATAAAACGTCTATACTTATTTGTGATATAAATTATTAGTCTTAAATAATAATAAAATACCTCGAAACTTTGGTTGATGTTGTTTCTTATGTGTTTAATCATTTGAGTACAGCAGTTGATCATATCGGGAACCATAACTTTCAACTTGCTCGAAGATTGAGCAGGGAGTTGAATAGCCCTTATTTCTCTCCATCTAAAAAAACAAAAATCGAGAAAATTAATTCCAGGCGTCGAATGAAAAATATGTTCGAAAAACGTACTCGGGCCCTTGGACAGCGAAAGGGTTGATGGCGAGAAGAGGGTCGACTTCTTTGCTGATTTGAAAATCGTTATTTGGAAATTTCGAGAAGTCTTTGACCATGACCGCTTTGACCAATTCCGGATCGCGTAATATCAGAGTGGGCTCGAAGAATTTGAAAAAGCCACCGGCCTGCATCCCGGGGAATTGCCTGTACGAAAAAAAAATTCCAATTTAGATCAGTCGAATAAGTTTTCCTATGCGAAAACGTTCCGGTCGTCACCTGTAAATGTCCCTGTACACTTCTCCAGCCGTTTTTTTCATTAATACTAGGTCGGCTATGTTGCCGAAAGGCGCCCTCGGCTCCATGCAAGGCACACCTTGACGTTTCCAGTAGTCGTAGTCTCTGGTCAACCAGAAGTAAATCGCTACTGCGAACACAGCGAGCATGAGGATTGCGGACAACATATTCTCCAGTGCTTGCTACCTAAGCCGTATAAACTGAATCGGAACTGGAAAACGTTTTTATATCAAACGAGTTTTTATCTCTAAATGTTTTTACTACCTTAGGCTGGCGTAAAGATAACGTATAATTATTTATTTTTGAAAGAAGACGCATTCCCTAATTCTGTTTAGTGTAAATTCTCTGTTATCTCATGATAAAGAAAGAGTATGCAACGTCATTTGTTAACAATTACAATCGGCATTATTGCACATTTAATCTTCTGTTACCGTTTCCTTTTCCTAATCTTAATTTTTTTTAAAACAATCAGATATGTTTAATAATTTCAGATAAATTACGCATTTGAATGCAATTTTAATTATTTTCCTTAATATTTTACAAACATGTCCTGCTTTGTATTTATTAAATACATTATATACTATGTATATAATGTACATTAGTGTATAATGTATGTACACTTCAATCTTGTGAAAACACTTTTTACTTGGTACATTTATCTTCTCCTATTCATCATTCTAATCCTAAAAGTTGGTGGCTGTTAGTCTGACAGTCGGTTAATTACTGATCGACACTTGATTACTTCAATAAGTCTGTAAGTACCCAGATTTATTAATGAAGATGGCGTGAAGCCAAGAAGAGATTGAGACCCTATATACCAAGTGTTTCATCAGATCAACAAACGAATTCTTGCTGGTTTTGTCTCTCAGACAAATTTCAGTGTATCTCCATTTTCAAACAGAAATGTTAAAAAAATATACTTATATCACTATTTATATAAAAAATGATAAGATATAGTACTGCTTTTGAAAAAATCATGCACATAAATGTTATGTCAAATTAGTTATCTTTGTAAATGTACAGAACAATCCAGTGGAATATCTCAGAATCCTTCGAAATTCCATAAGCGGCAATTTTTAGGGAGAAAACTTGCAAAGGGACCCTCCCAATATTTTTCACAAAAATCATAAAATGCTTTTTCTCCTCGTCTGATAGCCAAAAAAAAGATAAATCTCCTAGTGGAATGACTCCATCATTGTATTCAGTTAGTTTGAAAAGGTTGATTTTTAAAAACATGTTTGTTGGTTTTCAAGAGGAAATTTATGTATCACGAATACTCTGGATCCCAGTGTGGCCTGGATAACAAATCAAATCCAGTTGTTATCTGCCAAGACCTACTATAAAGCGGCCCATAGACGATCAATATTATTGCACAATATTTTGGGTTGTGCAATTTACTTGATCGTGTGTAGACGATATTGAATGTTTGTGCAATACATTGCATGTTTGACGAAAAGTTGAAAATATTTTTGTACAACCTGGAAAATATTTCACCGTCTGTTGGCATTATTGCGCAATATAAGTCAGTTCGTGAAGTACAAGTAGTAACAAAATATTGCACAAACTCCAATATCGCCTTCAAACTATTCAAATTCATTGCACACACAAAATTTTGTACAATATTATTGAACGTTAAGGGGCAAGCGTCAAATTATTGTGCAATCTATATTGTTAAGATCATCTTCAGGGATAAATTAGCTTAAATATGTCTACAAATTGACTTAATTTAGTTTTTAATAAATGGTTTCAAAATTCTGTGATGATAGACGCAGTCCTTGCCAACGACTAACTGTCGTCTTTTTTTACAATGGCTCTTTAATCGTAACAACTTGATCAGTAAAGATGTAATACAGTACAATAAAGAGATTGTTCTCGAAAATAGAAGAAAACTTTTTAAATGTTGTCTTAACGTAAATGTTGTATTATCCTATCAATTTAATTAAACTAGAGAGGACAGTTAAATAGCATTAAAATGTTATATCTCTAAGTAATCACTTAATTACAGGCTTTTCAGATTTCGTTTGTTTAAAAACAATGTTGTCGCAAGACGGCTCCCTTTCCTACAGCAATTAAAGGATCAAGAGATAAACCAAATCTTTTTATTACTCTATGACCCTTTTTTTCTCTTCACCTATATTTCCTCTGAATTATTATGCTAGCAAAGAAATTTAAATATTTAATTAAGCATACACTTGCATACAGATTTTCAAGTGGTTTACAAATGTGTATCAGGCTCAAGTTCAAGGAGAGACGAAATCATAATCTAACCCCGGGCTCAAATACTGAGCTACCTAATCACATCATTATCTTTTATGACTCTTATCATAATTTCAACTGCCGAGGTTCTTTGTCCTGCTTTCGTCATACGTAAATATTGACATATCTTAATATTTGTTTTCATAACACGTTATTTGACAATATTGCACATTATTATTTTGATTATTACAGGGTAAAACAGTTGATCTATCAAAACGATTTCTCATTCACTTTCATATCTAACTTTGTCAAACCCGTGATACACCTTTTCATCCAAATTTTTAATTGTTCGTAATATATCTTGTACTTTAAAAAGCTTAAATAAAGATAATCTAACCACCAACAAATTAATTTTTCAAAAGAAAAATACATTTGTATTTTATTTATGTCAAATGCTAAATGTATAAATTATGATAGTACTGAGGGATTTTTTAAAAAAACATTTACATTTTATATGGTAACATCAATATAAGTAGCACAAAAATAAAAGACTCTTTATTAAAGGTACATGGAAGAAATGTGGAAGTAAAATAAAACTCTTTTAAAACGAAAGAACTGTCTAAATATCATTAAGTCATTTGTAAATTTTCCATTTCCTTAACATATTATGTAACAATGTACTTGGTATTGTAAATGCTCAATTGATGATGTCAGTATTATTACGCAAAACTGTGCTCATTGATAAATCGTTACACCCAGATATAATATTTACAAATTTGTAAAATTTTTGAACTTATTTATTCATTTTTTATAAAGGAAGCGTTAATCTAAAAATATGTAAGTCTAACATTAACTTAGTTATTATTATGGATTCAAGATCGTCCCTCTTGAATATCCTCAAGTGCTCGTGATGGTTATGCAATTTATTAGATAGCACCCTAAAGGGACTGTTGGGGAGAATAGAGCAAGTTGAAGAAACCATAAACCCAGCCTTCAATGGGCTTATGTATAAAAAGTTGGCTCGCTAGAGAAAGATTTAAACCCTGGGAAGACGCTAGGCTGCATGTGGTAGAGGGAGAAGACCTCCCAATTATATTACAAATACTTCCCAAATTGCGACATGAAATGGGACACTAATGAGCAAATCCTCGGATTTCTCAAGAAACAAAATGAAGGCTTCCAAGTAAAGCCAGCAAGGTTGTCCAAAGGAAAGAGTAGGACAAATTAGTCCATCGATCACGGGCCATGTGGAAATATAGCCCTCCCCTTACCAAATTACGACCTGGTAAAACTGCCTGCCCCGCCTCACCAAACAACAACTAATGGGAAAGAAAACCGGGGGTGGAGGATGGTATCCCGTTGACGGTCCGGCCATTTCGGCAGGACATTTCTCATTCCAAAGGAGATCCACGAAGTGGCACCAAGGAAAGTGTTCCGTTTTATAAGGAATATCGCACTTTCCAAGGTATAGCTAGTTACAGGGGTCCCACAATAAACAAATTTATGTCGCAATGGAAGAAAGGACTTCTGCATCAAGCCCCCCCCCAACCTAATATTGTAAATATGTATCATATATAAAAGTGTAGCTCTGTTTATGTACGTATATGTTTGATTTTGTGTATAGTTGTTTGTTTGTGTGAATTAGAGGGTCGATGGCCAGAATCTCGAGACCCCATTAGCCCCAGAGTGCGTTGGAGGTTGATATGGCTTCATTGTCGGTAAACTCTTATTAAAAATCATATTCTTTATATACCTGTCTGGCAAAACTTCAAATTCTGTTTTCTCTTCTCTCTCAATTTCAGCTGGTGAACTCCAAGACTCTATTCTTTTTCACTTTTTCCGTGTTCCTAAATGACCAATTTCTCCCAAGTTCATCTTTGTTATATGCTGATACACAAATAGATATTTACATTCAATGTCCTGCAAGCACCATCTCTGCCCAACTATGGTCTTTATTCTCTTAATAAATGGTTATTAATAACGTCATTCTTGTAAATAATAACAAATCCCAGTCTTTATTAATTAAAAAAATTACAGATTACCTATCCCCTTCTCAAATTAAAGCCTTTCATATTATTTTGTGTTCTAATGTTAAAAATCTCGGCGTTGTTTTTTTAACTACAAGGTTACATGGCATGAACATGTGTGGTCTTTTAGTAAAAAAAAGCCTTCACTCTGTTAGAAGCCTTAGCTTTTTCACTCTAAAGAAAACTAGAGTTCTTCTTATTAATTTCCCAATAGTTACTTTATTCTCTACTTTAATGAATTTATAGCGTTACTATTTGGACCTTCCCCGAGGGAGTGGATCTTTCCTTGTTTAGACAAATGAATGAATAATAAACAAAAAGAATATTAAAAAGGAAACAATTCTTATATTGAGAAATTTACAAAAATTTGAAATTAAGGTCCATGTTTGGAATTAACAATTTTTTTTTTTTTTAAAGGAAACAGACTGATTATTATAATCTTATTTTAAATTAAAAAAAAGAAGCAATTCTTACAAGACTAATTATTATTATGATTATTAATAAAATGAAATAAACAAGCTGCAATACCGACTTTGTGAAGTTTAAACAAACAAACAAAATTACTCTTCGTTGTAAACTAAATGATAAAAAAAAATCCCTTTTTTTTACGAAAAAACAAATTAAAACGAAAAAAAACTTGCGTCACGATTCTTGGGCGGCCCTTATAATTGCAGTCCCGATTCTCGCTTGGTGAAGATGGTTGATCCTTGCTGCTTTTTTACCCAAAAAGAAGGAATTGCCACGTCTCGCCTCTCGTTCGGCTCAAAACCAACAGGCCTTATCCCGTTGAAGACTCCTTCCTCCTCCTTCTAGTCGCTTGTGGAAGGGCTTTGGGCGGCCCTTATAAATTGCACTGTCATAAATTTTTTCCCTTTTCTTAGACTCTCAATCTGCCCATTGCCTTAAAATTTTTTATCATTCCTTCATAAGATAATATCATGATCTTAAACCAAAAGAACACATTTCGTTCTATATTAACGTCT